TAGTGCTACTATGGCCTTATTACTAAGTCCTCGGTCCTGATTCTGAGTTCCTGCGTTTGTCTTGATACTAGTCTCGGTCTCTGATTCTAGTCCCTGGTGTCTTTGATACTAGTCCTGGTCGCTGTATACTAGTCCTGGTTCCTAGAATACTAGCTTCTTGCTCGATACTATCCCTTGCGTCCCTGGCATTCTAGTCCTGCCCGTCTTGTTATACTAAGTCCTGGTCTTGAAGGTGTTTTTTTAGTATCTCCATTAATAAAACAGGCGCAGCTGACGTCAGCATGGGGTAACAGCTGTGATCTCTCATCTGATCATGAATTTATTGAGGATTGATTCAAAAGAGAATTGAATTAATATCAATAATTCAATAATCATGCCTTCTGACACTACAGTTGCGGGAGGAAATGGTAATGTTATTATATATTCGAACTGATCATGACTGCATTCACCATGTTGGTTGGACAATGAATCTGTGTTACTGAATGAAACGTGTTATTTGTATTAATGCTGTTACTGCATGAAAACGTGTTACTGCTATGAATCGTGTTACTGGAACATGAACGGTGTGTACTGATGAACTGTGTTACTGATGAATCGTGTTATGTATGTATTGAACAGTGTTACCTGATGACGTGTTACTGATGAACGCGTTACTGCATGAACGTGTATTTGTGATGACGGTGTTACTGATGAACGTGTATTTGCTCTGTATGATACGTGTTATCTGCATGATACGTGTTATTGTGTGTTATTGATGAACGTGTTACTGGGCTCAGATCTGCTGGTCTCTGCTGGATTACTGTGTGGGGGTTCTGGGGGTGCTGATGTCCTCCAGTCCTCCTGCAGCAGGATTCAGAGACTCTCACTGGTCCCAGTTAAGGAGAGCAGCCGGCCGACACTAACGAGCTTCTGCCTGACTGGATCAGAGTCCTGATGAGGAACAAAGAGACCCTGTTCCCTCTGAGACCTGAATACTGATGAGGACTCGCTGTCCTGATCCAGAACCTGATCCTACAAGAACCTCAAACACTGTGTGGAGCTTTTATTTTTATTTATTAGTTTAGTTTCTTAGTTATTTTTATTTATTTTATTTTATTTCTTTATCTGATGTTTTATTATTTTTAATTTTTAATTTCATTTTATTTTACTTACTGAGACTAGCTGTATTATTTTTACTTTACACAAAGTCCTGTAGTCAGTGGGGGAGGGGCAGCAGGCGCTCACCTGTACCAGGTGTCGGACCAGAATGCACCTGTACGCAGATTGTTTGTCTGCTGAAGTCAAACAAACAATGTGTTGTTTAAATAAAGTTTGAGGTCAATCAGTGATTGATTGGAGTTATTGATAAACAGGAAGTTGCTGCTGTAAACAACCTCTTCCTCTCTTCTTCCTCGCAGTCTTTCCAGACCTGCTGGGCGCCATCCCAGCCGGCCTCCACGTCACCCTCATCTTCTTCTGTGGTGTCGTCATCCTCTTCTCCTCAGTGGCCACCGGCTTCTTCTTCTTCAACGCCTTCGGCAGACCCTACGAGACGCTGCAAGGCCCCATGGGACTTTACCTGTGGACCGCCATCTGCTGTCAGTAATAATAATAGTAATAATAATAATAATAGTAATAATAATAGTAATAATACTACAGTAATACTACTTATCGTACATACAATATGATGGTGAAGTGATGAAAGGATGAATGAACCCGTCCTAAGCCCCGCCCCTTTTTGCTATATGCTCCAATCACAGTTGAGCTAACCTCAGTCAACTTCTTCCTTTAATGTGCTTAGACATGCTATGCTAGGCTAATATATGTTGAAAAGACAACTACATTTTAAAGATAGAAGATAAAAGTCACATCTTAAGTTAGCTAATGGTAGCAAAACACTGGCTAACTAACTAGAACTCCACATCAATCATTAGATAGCTAGTTACAGTTAGTTAGAAAGAAAAAGTTAGTTATCTACATCATCGTTAGTTAGAGTTAACGTTGCTAACATAAGGTATCACATGTGATTCGCTAACTAATGATTATTGTAGATTAGTTAGTTAGTTAGTGTTTTGCTACCATTAGCTAACTTAAGATGTGACAATATGTTTTATCTTTTACCTTTTATAGCATTTAGCATTTAGCATATAGCATTCCTAAGAGCCGTCTCAGTGTTATTGATGACAAATATTGGTTGTGTTCACACTGTACCTTTAATAAATCCGACACTATTGATTATATCAGCAGAAATATTCTGTGCTGCTCAGGAGGCCCTGAGTGCATTATGGGATGGCAGCCGACTCCCTGAGGGTTTGGTTGAAGTTGGATTGGAGTGAATTTAAAAACGATTAAAGCTGCAGTGACAGTGTGTGTCTGCTGACAACAGCTGCAATTACAGACACAGAGAGCGTGGCGGGAGAGAGAGAGTGGTTTGATTTCACTTAATCACCTCACAGAGACCCACTGTCAATCAAACGCTGCTGGTGATTTCCACCTGGTGTTCACCTGTCAGCTGCAGCCAATCACAGCCAATCACAGCCAGAGACCTCTGTTCAGATGTCCACATACTTTTGGCCACATTTCTCTCCCACTAAAAGTTAATCAAACAGCTTTTGAATGTATAAAACTTTATCGACAGTGCTTTTGAATGTATAAAACTTTATCGACAGTGTTGTGCAGCTGTCTGGTGATGATCCTGTTTGCGTCCGAGGTGAAGCTCCACCATCTGACCGAGCGGATCGCCAACTTCAACGATGTGAACTTCGTCTTCCAGACGTACAGCGAGCGCTACGACCGGTGCTTCTGGCTCTTCTTCCTCATCTTCCTCCTGCACGGACTCAACGTCCTGCTCATCCGACTGGCGGGAATCCAGTTTCCCTTCCAGGACGCCAAAGAGTCGGACCTGAGCGGGGGGGCGGCCGACCTCATGTACTGAGTGATTTTTAAGATACGTCACAACTTTCATCACTTCCTGTCTGAAAAACAAACGTCTGTAGTTTAATACTACAACTCCCAGAATTCTGAGGCCAGCCAAACACACTGTTGTGGTCATCAATTGATCCTTCCTAAACTAGGCTAATCTAGCTTTAAAAGATAAAAGAGACAAAAAATCTTAAATAAGCTAATGTTAGAAAAACACTAACTAATCTACACGAACTGTTAGGTAGCTCATTTACATGAATCCATAGTTAGCTAGTTACAGACGATGGTGTAATCAGAAGCTTCCACTGTCGTATCACCAGACTTAAAGACAGAATCAAAAATAAAATGCTAGCTAACTAGCCAGTTTACAAATTAAAAAAATGCATTGGAGACCTGCAGAGACCAGTGACTTTAGGGGGCGTGGCCTCGACACCGACTAGACTGACTAACCACAGCAGCATCATTTCAATTTAATTCAATTTTATTTGCACAAATTCATAACAGAAGTTATCTCAGGACACTTTTCAAATAGAGCAGGTCTAGACCGAAATAATGCAACTCCTTTTAACATTTTACAGAGACCCAACAGTACCACCATGGAGCAAGGACCTTGGAGACAGGGGCAAGGAAAAACTGCCTTTAACAGGCAGAAACCTAGGACAGATCCTTCAGCCCTAGGTGGGTGAGAGAGAGAGAGAGAGAGAGAGAGGAGAGAGGAGAGAGAGAGAGAGAGAGACGGACAGACGCACAGCAACAACAGTAGCAACAACTACACTAATAGTAGTGACTGATGATGATGAACATGAAGAAGATGATGACGACGACAACAACAACGATGGGGGACAATGAGCAGTGATTATAGTAATAATAGTATCTGTAGTAATAATAATAGTAATAATAATAATAACAATTTACAAACAAAATTTAGAAGGATCTAGTCTTTTCTATCTACAGACGCCATGGGTCACAGCCACCATAGTTTTTCCTTTGAGCTTGGAATGCAGGATTCAAATGATACAGTGGCTTTCAGGGGAGCCCTAATTTCCAGTGTGCACCGCTACTAAACATGTCACATGTGTGGACGTGTGCCATCAACTGCAACTGTTACTACAAAAAAACAATTTACTCTTACTACGACACACAGGTAATACGGTCAATAACATTTTATTGAAGTTAAATGACAACAACATAAGACTACTGTTTTAAAATCAAAGCAAAATGGCTTAGCCACACCCCCCCCAAATCAGCCCCCAAGACACGTACGACCAACATGTATGAAAATTGGTACGAATGTGTATCATGATCAGACAAGCATAAAAGTGTCTTGGCTTACCCCAAACCCAACAGGAAGTGTCCATTTTGGATTTAGTGGTAATTCTGTGATTTTTCGCGTTGTATTTGAACAAACTCCTCCTAGGGAATTAATCGGATCAAATTCAAATTTGGTCAGTGCAAACTAAAGACATTCTTGATTAAAACACCCGTGCCCGTGGTGCCGCATCGAATTTCGACGAATCACCATGAAACGGGAAGATGTCTTAACTTCAGTGTACATTGTCCAATCTCAATGAAACTTCACATGTTTGATAAGAGTCGTGCCCTGAACACATCTACATGCCAATATTCAGATATAGTCATAGCGCCCCCTAATGGCAACAGGAAGTAATCCTTGTGTGGCGATTTTGATCTGATATACTTGAAACTTTCATGTTGTGGTCCACACATGATACGCTGGCACGTGTCACATCTGCAGCACACATGCGAGAGCCTGATCACACTTTAATGTTTTATTTATTTTTAATCATTTTGAGGTTTGGACTGGTGGTTGGACAGAAGAAGCATTATGAAGTTGTGACTAATTATGACAGCATTTCTCACTATTTTCAAAATGTTTGAGTGATGCGTTATGACATTTTTTGCAACTAGTAATTTTACCTTTAATACTTTGAGTAATTTTTTCTGATTGCATTTACATACTTTTACTTAAAAAACATTTGCAGGACTTTTGCTTGTAACAGAGTGAGTGCAGCATGGTATTAGTATTGTTAATTAATTAAACGATTTAAATACTTCTTCCACCAGTGTTGTGTGGTTGTGTGTGCGTGTGCTCAAGACCATGGTTAAAGAGTGAGATTAAAAGCTCTTGGAAAAGCTAATAAGTGAACATTGTGCAAGCTTCTATCAGGAATGAACATTAAAGCTCAGGGCTTTCTTTTATATAATTATTATTATTTATCATTTATTGAGAACATATTTCATAGTGAAATCAGGCTTCTTTTGTCTGTGCCCTCTCCTTTCAAACTTGTGTAGAGTATCTACCCCTGTGTAATGAATTGACTCTGTTCTTTCACCTCCCACAGTCCCAGGTAGTTTAACCCTGTATTATTGACATAATTCACACTTATACCCATGGCAGACCTTTTAATCTGCTTTTAGGCTGCATTGCCCTTTATTGTTTGAACTGATGTCCAGATGTTCCAGGATACTGAGTTTAAATTCTCTACGCTGATCCCCTTTTCTTCTATCTGTGGTAACAAGGCTGCAGCTTTTGTCCCTGAGCTTCTTGCTGATCTCCAATTTGGTTGATTCTGATGGGGAACCACAATGTCTGACATAAATTGCCAGTGTGTCCCAATTACTTACAATACACTTATATTATAAAATATACTATGCTAGCACTCAATGCTAATATTTACAATGCAGTTAATATATAGTAATATGTCTTAGGGTGGGGGAAGCACATACGATAAATTGGGGGAGGGGGAAGGGTGCTTGGACTTCTACATAGTATTTTGATAATTGATTCCAATATTAACATTAAAGGAACAATCTGTAGGATTTAGTGGCATCTAATGGTGCTGTTGCATATTGAAACGCCCTTGCTTAACTCTCTTTCCAAGTGTGAAGGAGTAACTATGGTGGCCACGAATTTTGCGGAAAATGCGAATCTCCCTATCGAGCTAGTGTTTGGTCTGTCTGTTCTGGGCGACTCCATGGAAGCCTACCAGCGGCATCTGTATTTTAAAAAAGGCTAATTTTAAGGTCACAAAAATAAATATTCTTATTATACAGTAACGAAAACATACCTATGAATATTATATTACATTTCTGCCAACATATCCTCCTAAATGTTAAAATGTTACACACCTTTAACCATCTGTTCAGATTTAAATGTGAAAACATTTAGTATATATATATATATATATATATATATATTCAGATATCTAAATGTATTATGCTTGAAGTCCACTGTTTGAAATGTTTTATCAAAAAAAAAGTTTCTGATTTGAATCAGTCCAAATTGAGTAACCTAATTTTTTCACCTGACATTTTTAGATCATAATTTTGAATTTTAGTATGCTGGAAATTTGTTTTTAGAAATACATTTTTATGACAGGGAAACACTGCAGTTACTGCCATGTCCTAACACATGATGATCACAATGTCCCCCATCCTGTATCTCAGTGCCAGTCAGACAGTTTGGCTACAGCAGAGGGCAGTCTTACTTTACACAGCAGCTGCCTCTCACCTGGTGTTATTATTCCTGCCATGACTGAGTCGTAGGTCTGTCTCCATTGTTTTGAGAACCATAGTTTATAGTTGATTAGAAATTTTTGGAGTGTTTTCTGTATTATTTTATATATTTTTTTCTGATCTGACTTGAAGAGTGGAAAGACTATGGTAATTTGATGGCTTATGATATAAAACACAGGTACATTTTAGAATTGTTTTAGAAAAAGGTTTCTGTCGAGGTTATAATGAAAATTTGCTGAAGCTATACATTTAATGGTCAAGGGACACTACATTGGATTCTTTACTGAAGGTACATAACTACTAAATCTAATTTTAAGCCAATTAATTAAGCAAATTTTGCAGAGGTGGAAGAGTTTTTCATTCAATACCTACCTACAAACATTCTTTTAAAATGGTGTCATGCATTTTGAGGAAGTATTATTGATAAGTAATCGATAAATTGAAAAATATATTTACTTCCAGAATATTCATCAATTTCACTTGCCATTGCTTTTATAATGAGAAACACACACAAATTGAGGTGCCAGGTTGTGAATAGTGGCTGAATAGTCTAAACAAAGTGTGCTTGTTAAAGCTGCTATCGTTGCAGTGAACCTGCAGTTTGCCAGCCATATCAGCCCAGCAGTATGTACAGATTGCTATCAGGTGGCAAAGATAGAGCAATCACTGCTGCCATGGCACTGAAAAAATATTTTTCTAGTATGATAATATGAGGATGATTAAAAGCAAATGGCCTTGAGAATGAGATTTCTCCAACACAATGTAGCATATATTCATCATTGCATTGAGACTAACTGAATGTGGCTTATGAGGGCAGAGCAGAGGACACAATAATGACCCACAAGCTATTGTGACTTTGCAAAGGAATTTCAAGTTGTACAGGTAGGATTTTTGCTAATAATAATGAGAGGAAGAAGAAAATAAGAAAAATCAATACTTTATCGCACAATAGCATTGTGGAGAAAAGTTTGCGACGAGTACAGTGGAGCATTTAGCAGCTAAAGAGTCAGATATTTTTCTCAGGTGGAGACAAAAATAGAGCTAAATTGAGAATGAATATTGGACTTACATGGGGCTGTGCACATCCCATGCCAGTAGGAGAGGTTTCCAGTCTGGATGCTTTCTCTCGCTCCTCTGTAGAAGTTATCAATAACTTGCATGGTAATTTTGCTTTCTTAAGTTTTAATAAAAGAAGAACAAGAAGTAGAAAAACAACAACAACAACAACAAGAATATATACTTCTCTGGAAATAATGAGGAAATAATATTTTCCCTCAGTTTTTTCACACATAGGCCCGCAATACAATCATTCACAAACAGGGCTTATAGAAATGCAAATCTAGAGAAATGGTGGAGTGATGAAAAACTTCCTTGTGGGTGGCTGTCTCGACCAGTTGAGGTGAGAGAGAGAGAGAGAGAGAGAGAGAGAGACACAAAGGTAAAGACAGAAGGACAGATACAGAGGTAACGACAGAAGGACAGAGAAAGAGGTAAAGACAGAAGGACAGAGACAGAGACAAAGGTGCACAGCAACAACTACACTAATAGTAGTGACTGATGGTGATGATGATGATGAACATGAAGAAGACGACGACACAGCCACATCGATGGGGGACAATGAGCACTAATAAAAGTAATTAAAACTGCAAGCAGTGATGATCGGCACCAACCAACACCAAGCTACGAAAATTTCACAGAAATCACATCACAATCGCCACACAAGGCTTACTTCCTGTTACCAGTAGTTGACTCTATGACAGCGACTGAATATTGGCACTTAAATGCGTTTAGGCCAGCTGGATCTGATCAACCTGCTAGGAGTAGAACATGAAAGTATAAAACATTTAATTCCTGTTGCCAGTAGGGGGTGCTATGAGTATGACTGAATATTGTCATGTAGACATGTTCAGGGTGGGACTCTCCCAGTCACAAATAGCACGACTTTTAATCGTGATGGTGTTTACATTATACTGATCAAATTTGAGGTCGATCTG